TTTGATTCGTTTGTTTAGTGGCATATCGACCCCTTATCTGTCATTTAATGCTGAAATTTTCTTGGGAGCTTTGAAGTAACACAAATGATGTTATTCTACTTTCAGAATTGAATACATGGCAGATGATACTCAGCTTTTGTGCATATACCTATTTATGTGGACATAATTACTAGAGGCGGTGATATGTATGTTTTATGTTGTAGTTGAAGTTATATTTTGAAATACACATTGATTTCTTCATGAAATTTTAGGATATTATATGGATTAATGCCACGAAAGAATTTTTTTATGTTGGTTGATTTTGTTTAGTGGCATATCAACACCTCCATAGGTTATTTAATGCGGAAATCTAAACATTTTGAACACAATTTTATGGCTTCAACTGAATATATTTTGAACACAATTGTATGCCTTCAACTACAGATAAAATGTATTGTTGGTCATTTTACTATAAAAATGATATTATTTGTTGGTTGATTTTGTTTAGCGGCATATCAACACCTGTATGGGTTATTAAATACCGAAATCTAAATATTTTGAACCAACTGTATGTCTTAAACTACAGATAAAATGTATTGTTGGTAATTCTACTATGAGTATTTATTATTGTTAATTTTTTTTATATAAAAATGAATTTCTGATACTTTTACTATGAAAATGTATTTGTATACATTCATAGCGTTTGTTTTCATTTGGAGGTTCACTATTTGCCCATAGCTGAGACCCTAGCAGGTGCTACTACACCAGCAATTAAGAGATGGTTCCCCCCTCCTCTAAAAGTCTAATCTCCCAAACAGAGGACGTGCTGCCGGATGTTGTTTATAAGAAAATAAATAGGGTAACTAAATACGACGAAACGGCCGTCCAGAGTTTTCTGCATTTTCTGTTGAGGTTTCTTTCAGACTCGATGAATTACTTAAATATAATTATCAAATCCTCCTAATAATTTCTATCGTGTGTATATCATTGCTTGAACCGGCTTCTAAATGCTCTAGAGTGAGCGGCTTGGTGAGAGTAGTCGTGGCTCCATGGGGCACAGTCCTATGGTTAGAGAAAACTCAGTAAGAGTTCCACCACGGAATATGTGAGCGAGAGGCGCTATATTGAGTCTGATTTGAAATCTATTCGTCACCGAGGCCCGTTGGAACAGTTGGTATGATGTTTGCTTAACAACCTAACTGTCAGGGTTTCAATTCTCGGTAGTGGCTGCGCACTGCTGATGAGTCCCAAATATAGGACGAAACGGCCGTCCAGTGTTTTCTGCATTCTGTTGAGGTTTCTTTCAGACTCGATGAATTACTTAAATATAATTATCAAATCCTCCTAATAATTTCTATCGTGTGTGTATATATATATATATATATGTACACACACGGGCAGGGTGTCCATAAAGTTCGTGTGCACTTTATAACTTTATTTGTGTTTGCGATAGAAATAATTTGTAAAAAGGATTAAAAAGAAGTAAATATATATATTTTTAAGGTTTTATTGAAATTTTATTTAAGTTTCCACATGTCCTCCATCATTAGCAATACAAAGGTTAATACGATTTTGCAGTTGACGGAAAACATTTGCCAACGGATTTACAGTAATGCCTGAAATCACATTAGTGATTTTAGCTATACTTGGTACATTAAACTAGGTACATTAAACTTTATAACATTTTTTACAGATTATTTCTATCGCAAATACAAATAAAGTTATAATTTTTTAAAGTACATATATATATATATATATATATATATATATATATATATATAAACTATAAAGAACTATAAATCCTTATTATTTACCATTTTATAAAATTCGAATTAATTGGCAATTATCCGATGTTTTTCCAACCATTTCCATAAGCAATCCAAAAAATAAAGCGTTTATTATTTTTCGTGTCAGTATACTCCAATGTTTGTCTCCTTACTTTACATCCCAGTTCTTGTTTTCCTATCCCTTTACACTAGTTCATTACGTATCTTACTAGTCTTGTGAGTGTCAAATTCTCCAAGCCCTCTTTCCTAATTATGCATGGTTAATAAGCCGTAGAAAATTCCTCATTATGGGTTCAAAAAACTTCAGCTGTCTCTAATTCTAAGCATAAGTGCTCTTTTTGTTTCCATTTTCCTTAAAATTTCCTTGCTGTGCCCTTGTTCCGTCCATATCATTCTCAATATCCTTCTGTAGATCAACAACTTTGTTTCCTCAAGTTTTCAATTTATCGGTGAGGAAATAGTTCAGCATTTACTGCCGTCTAGGAGTGTTGATAATACATAGCAGTTCAGTACTCTTTCTTTCTTTCCTTGTTTCCACGAGGAGGTCCCGTGTATTGGTCGACTATTCAGCCATAAACGCACCCCAAACTTCAAATGGAAGTCGTGGAAATGATCCAACGCTAAAGATGCAGGAAAAATTGATCGGTTCCCTGCACCGCTCTAGTAATTACCTGTCTCCTCGTGCTATCCTTTACCTTTGCAATAGTCAGATCAGGTCGAAAATGGAGTATAGCGACCATATTTGGGCAGGAGCTGCCCAGTCCCCACTTTTCAGTCTCGATAGATTCCAAACGTGTCTCTGCGTCCTTGTGGGTGACAAATCATTATCCCCGTTACAACATGACCCCCCCCTCACAGATGAAACGTCACAAGCCTCTCATTGCTATATCGCTACTTTCATGGAAAGTTCTCAGGCGTACTACAATATTTAGTTCCACTACTTCTAACCTTCACGGCTAGGGCCTGCCATCCTATGCGCATTGTAGCGACCCCCCCTCATTCCATCCATATTGGTGAGAAGCAAGATCCACTCAAACAGCTTCTTCCCACGAGCTACTGTTCTGTGGAACAAACTCCCAAGAGGATGTTTTCCCGATTACTACAATCTTAACCTGTTCAAGTCTAGAGTTAACCGTTATCTTCCGCACATATCTGCATAAACTGTATTTCTTCTTTTGTAATCCTCTACCTAGAGTGGCTCCCCGGCCTTGTACAAGGTAAAACTCACTGTAAATTATGAACTACTCTTTAATAATATCAGTGGAAAATATATCTTTAAATATTCGTATGTGAAGAATTCTAATGATATGCGAAACAGTTAAGTCAATCAACCATTATTTTGACGGCATCAGTTTACACGTAATAATTTAAAATAAAAATAAATATAAAACTCGACATGATAGAGTGGGTCAATATATGCACTGGGAAAATATGCAACTTTTATGGGAAGGAAACTGCAAGAAACTGATATGAACCAGTTACAGATCTAGCACCTGCAACAACTTAAAGGGACTTGACAATACACACAGAACAATCAAAGCTAATCGTCCAAGCATCGGGATCAAAGACCAAAAGAACACAATGTTTTTGGGGGTTTTTTGACATGGCAGACCCTGAAGATTGTAATTTATCTTTGAAGATCTTCAAAAAACTGTCAAATTACAAGGATCTTGAAGTGGAAATTTTACAAAATGTGGTATATAAGAACATCAATCACTACAGTTGTAGTTGGAGCCCTCGGATTGATTGGAAAAAAGTTCAGATAGACTCATTCCTGGTAACTGATGCCATAAGATAACATTTTACAGAGCTTTACGAAGAACTTTTTATATGTGAAATGTTTGGGATTTTAATTTGTTTTTTATTGTTTTTTTGAAAGGGGTAGCTTCTTTTTTTTTTTTTTTTTTGTTTGCTTTTTTACAAAAAATGATTCGTGGAAAATATCATGAAGCAATTTCTGACCTTAATTCTCTGGCTGGGATTCGAAAAGAAATTAGTATACAGCAGAAACCGAAATAAATAAATAAATAAATAAATAAATAATAATAATAATAATAATAATAATAATAAATAGATAACGTTATAGTCATTTTGAATTCCATGATATTGTTGATGGCTGCATAGCATTGCAACATACATTTTTTTAATCAATTTACCCTAAGCAAGGCGACAATGCCACTAAGACGCACGAAAAAAATAGGAACTGAATTCTAAACAAAAACCAAGGGATAAAATTGTACTCTTGTTAAAAAAAAATTTTTTTAAAAGACAAAAAAAAACGGAGAGTGTGTTTTGGATAAAGTTTTGAATTCAGTGTCATCTTTCTCAGTATGAAAACAAGGAGGAAGCTTATACTTAACCTAAGGAAGAGGCAGATGAAATTTCTGGGACACGTAATGAGAAAAGAGGACCTAGAGAATTTGATACTCACAGGTCAAATAGACGGAAAGCGAGACAAGGGAAAGCAACGCATGACATACATGGCGGGCTTTAGCTAGTGGATGGCAGAACGTGGTCTGGGGGTGTTCGCAAAGGCATAAAATTCATTGAGAGCCACAAGGGATAGGGGGAAGTGGAGAGCCATGATCGCCTACATCCTGAAAGAACACAGTACATAAAAAGAAAGAAAGAAAAGTAAGCTTTCTTTGAAACTGGTTACCAACTATGTGTAGAGCCCAGTCTGTTCTGCTATATAACCCATAGCTCAAAGGGAATAAAATGTATTTGTACAAATTTTTATAAAAAATATAAACAAAAATAGAAATTATTTATGAATCAGCCAAATATTAAATCTAAATGTAAAAAAAACAAAAAAACTTGAAACTCATAGAATTTCGTATGTTTCTCTTCACGCCCAAACTGTAAATCGACTTTGCAGACAACAGTAAGAATTAGTTACTTTCATGAAACCCGGAGGTGACAAAGAAAAACTGAAAAAGCTACTTTCATACAAGGTCAGAAAATATCGACAACAATCCCTATTCTCTCTCTGTAAAGGACAAGTTGTTGTCTTCGTATTCTCAAAAAGAAACCAAAAAAATGGCGGATGATTTGTGAATGCAGAATTTGGCATTCTGTGTAATGGAAGAATGAAAATAAAGACAAAGCCAAACAAAGACGTAAACATGAATAGCAAAAACAGAAGTAGATAAAATGTCCCCCGACATAAGTAAAAAGTGATAAAGAACAGACCGGAAAGGCAAACGAATCATTTGATTTAACCTCAAACAAATCATGCGTGCCCTTTACGCTTCCCTAAAGATGTCGTCTGCTTTTATTTGTGTAGAACATTCGTTAAGTTCACCTTTCATCTTCTGTAAATTCTCCATTTTTCTATTTTTCTTTCCTTTTTTCTCTTCCCTTCTAGTCATTCTTCTTTCTACTCCTTAATTCCTCCTTTTTCTTAACTTTTTTCCTCTTTTCACTTCTTTTTCTTCTTCTTCGTCTTATTATTATTATTATTATTATTATTATTATTTCTAGACTCATCGATATTGATGCCATTAGTAAATGTTTTGCTTACATTGGAGATCAAGTGAGAGTAAGTCTTCTCAATATACTAGCACCTTCCCCAGTATTATAGCTGTTTTCAGTAATTTTGTTACCGAGATGGTCTTGAGATGGTCCTATTATTATTAATTATTCCAAGCGTTTCAACAACGATGGACACAACTTCATTCTCTACATATTTAGTATTATTTTGTGAGATTTATTTAATTGCTAGAATTTTTTCAGTTTTCCTCAGTGAACAGCACTGACGAATTTTATACCTTTCGTTTACAATACCTTGATCTGATCTTCTGACCAGGATTCGACAATCCAGTCTTCTGTCAATGATTGGGCGATCCAGTCTTCTGACAATGATTGGCCGATCCAGGCTTATGATGACGACTGGACAATTTAGTCTTCTGACCTGAATTGGACAATCCATTCTTCTAACCAGGATTGGGCGATCGAGTCTCTTGACCAGGATTGAGCGATCTATTCTTCTAACCAGGATTGGGTGATCGAGTCTCTTGACCAGGATTGAGCGATCCAGTTTTCTGACCAGGATTGGGCGATACAATCTTCTGTCCAGGATCTGGCGATCTAGTCTTCTGACGAGAATTGGAGAATCCAGTCTTCTGTCTTCTGACCAGGATGGGGCGATCTAGTCTTCTGACCAAAATAGGTAAATCCAGTCTTCTGACCAAGATTGAATGATCCGATTTTCTCATCAGGGTTGATTGATCATCTTCTGGTCAGGATTAGCTGATCAGCTCTTCAGAATTGTGTAATCCATCTGGACCGGTTTGGCCAGATGTTGCTGATCTGGTCTTTTGGCTTTCTGGCATACAGTTGTGGGAACACGAAGTCTCCTTGAATAATGCCCATTCTTATGTTGATATCAGCGAGTTTTATCTGCTTCAGTTAGTCCTACTTTTGAATTGTTCTTTACATTCTTTATGGATTCCCCATATTTTTACGCGATTCTTTTAAGGCATTCTAAATCCATGACTGTGAGATAATTTCATAGACGTTTGTAAAATTATTCTCTATCACTTTAACTTTGAGAACAAAGTATCGATGGCACATCTTTCTTTCGTCCTGTTTATATTCAGAATTCTTTCATGAAAGAGTAGTAAGGATATTACTGTAGTTCATATCATACGCAAGCACGTTATAGGCCTGTAATTACTTATTGTTATTTTTTGTGATTTTTGAAAGCATGTTATAAACCTGTAACTACTTATTGTTGTTATTTTGGTGCTTCTTAATTAGTTAATCTTTCTACTTGTCAGGAACGTTTTGCTTTCTTGTATTAGATTTTTGCGTGTAGCTGCTGTGTTAGGCTTTCAGACTAATCTTGAACTCAGAACCATGGTTTTCATCATAGATTTGCATTTCTTGGTTATCCATTTCCTTAGAGTTTTTTTCCAATCTCCTGTCCGGCTTCTAATATTGTTACAAGTTTTACTAAGTCTGTTCACAATTTATTTTCTTTTATGGAAAGGCCAAGATATTCTTCAAGATTTTCGCATACTATTAAGAATTCTTTTATTTATTATGATTAATGAATTTTCGCTCCATTCCTATGCCGACCGGGAGATATGCTCATAGCGTAGTTTTCATTCTTTGTCAAATATCAAATTTAAAAACGTTTGGAGTCATTCCAAACTTCCTCCACCTTCTCCTCTTCTTCTTCTTTGTCTTTTTTTATTCACACTTCTTACCTTACTTCGCCTTTTTCTTCTTTTTCTTCATTTACTTTGACTTTTCATTTTTACTCATTCGTATTTCTCTTAATTTTTTCCTTCTTATTCCTTCTTTTTTACTGCTTCATTTTTCTCTTCCTTTCCCTGTGACGTTTCACTTATCCTTTCTTTTCTTCTTTTTATATTTTACACCAGTCTCTGCATTTTCTTCATATTTTATTTGTTTTCTTCTTCTTCTTCTTCTTCTTCTTCTTCTTCCATTCCTCCTCCTCCCTCTTTTTTCTTCTTTTATTCTTCTTCTTCTTCTACTACTACTTCTACTTCTTCTTCCACTCATCCTTTCTTCTTCCACTCTTCCTCTTCCTCCCTCTTCTTCTTCTTCTTCTTCTACTCATCCTTTTTCTTCTTCTTCTTCTTCCACTCCTCCTCCTCCTCCTACCCCTCCTTCTTCTTTTTCTACTTCTTCTTCTTCTACTCATAATTTTTCTTCTTCTTCCATTCCTCCTCCTCCCACTTCTTCTTCTACTACTACTTCTTTTTTACTCATCCTTTTTCTTTTTCTTCCACTCCTCCTGCTCCTCCCTCTTCTTTTTCTTCTTCTTCTCATCCTTCTTCTTCTTCTTCTTCCATTCCTCCTCCTCCCTCTTTTTTCTTCTTTTATTCTTCTTCTTCTTCTACTACTACTTCTACTTCTTCTTCCACATCCTTTCTTCTTCCACTCTTCCTCTTCCTCCCTCTTCTTCTTCTTCTTCTTCTTCTTTTTCTTCCACCCCTTCTTTTTCTTCTTCTACTTCTTCTTTAGTACCATATTCTTCTAATTCTTTTCTTTTCGTTCTCTATTTCCTGGTTTCTCTGCATTTTCACTATCATTCCTGCAAATCATTATTTCACTTTTCTTTCTTTTCTATCTTTCTTTCTTTCTTTCTTTCTTTCTTTCTCTGATATTTTCTCTTTTCTTTTCTCTTCATTCCTATTTCTCCCTTTAACGGTCTTTTCACCTTTGTTTTTCGCTTTTTATTTTCCACTTCACTTTCGTTCAATTCCATTTTCTTTCTCTTCTCATTTCTTTTTTTCCCAATCTGAAAGCCTTCCACCAACGCCATCTTTGTTCATCTTTTTTCACAAAAGATCTCGCGGCCAAGTCAATCTATTGTTTACCATGTTCCCATCAAACCCTACAGTTATTCCACTCATCGGATTTTGTCTTTCTGCGCATGCGCCTTTTCACATTATGACCTTTCCTCTTTTTTTTCCGCGTTTATTTAGCGCGGGAGCAGTTTTTTGGTGTTCACTGATCCGGATCTGTAGGATAATAGTCAAAACAGAGGCGCCAAATTCAAAGGTCAAAAGACCAATTCAATAGTACGTGATTGGTTTCCAGTCTATACAATGTACCGGTACAAAGATAGCTCGATAGATATATAGACAGACAGACAGACAGAACATGAAAGTATTCTGGACCTTGTAAGTTCATCAATGCACTGTCCACTATGGATTTACAAATAATGTTAGGATGATCATGTTGTTTATAAAATTCCAGGACTAGCACCAGAGGAAAAATCCTATTTCACCCACAGAGCAATATATATATATATATATATATATATATTTAATGATGATGAAATGACTCACACGCACACACAACGCATACACACATAAACACGCGTCCCAGAGCATACGTTTGCTCTCACTGATAAACACACTGTCATATATACATTGGTACATCAATAAGTCATAGTCTTATGTTAAATTTATTTATTTTTTATCACAGAAATTTATTTTTTATGTTCATATAACAATGCAATTAACGCGTATATATATATATATATATATATATATATATATATATATATATATATATATATATATATATATATATATATATATATATATATATATATATATATATATATATATATATATATATATATATATATATAGAGAGAGAGAGAGAGAGAGAGAGGAGGGAGGCGGTGGAGTAATGGATAGCAGCTTGGATTGAGGAATCGCAGAGCCGAGTTCGAATTCAGTCGAATCCGTTACATTCACTTATGTGCTAATACCCTTGGGAAAAGGTATGAATCCTCTTCTTCTTCCTCCAGCTATGGGTAAATATCAGAACAGATTGCGTTCTATAGCCTTGGATGGCAACTTGTCTAGGAGAAGGAAAACTCTGAATTCAAAACCTGCGGAGCATTTAGTGCACCAGGTCTCTGTATTCGACTCCTTCAAAAAGTGTGGATGGTCCTGCCCGAAGCCTTCACCACTATAATCAAATCTCATGTGCAGTAGTCGGGCTGTCGGTTTCCTAGGAACTGATCTGATTGACCCTCATACGTCGAATTCGACTATATATATATATATATATATATATATATGGAGAGAGTGAGTGTATAAAAATAATTTTTTAAACTTTGTTGGGTTCCTCACACCAAGCAAGTCCATATAAACATATGCCGGCAAATTCTTCGTTTTTGAGTTATTAAGTTTAAAGATTACGGTAGACTCTTTAAATGTACAATCCGAGATACAATTCAAAAATACTTTTACTAAAAGTAAGGGCGGTTTTCTACCATCAAAACAAGGTAAAATGTCCCTATAAATATGTTCAAAAGGCCATTGTTGTACCTCAAGACGGCAACTCATAACAAATGTTCAAAATGTCCTCCGCTTGCTTCTACATACGCATGCACCCGTCGGATCATAGACTGTTGGAGCAATTCAAATACTCCTACACAGTGTCGAATCATTTCGCAGGCCTCCATGATACGTTGATGATGTGGCTCTGCATTATTAATGTCTGCTGCATAAACAAATTGCTTTAGGTTCTCCCACAAATAAAATTCCAAAAGATTGTGGTCGGTGGAAGGTCCTGGGGTCAGTCCTCCCCTACCTACCCATCATCATGGTAGATGTCTTTCATTGTATCGTGAGCAATGTAACTAAAATGTACAGAAGTCCCATCATGCATGAACCACATGCGTCTTTGTATTAGCAGGGGTACATCCTCTAGCAGGTCTGGGACTGTGTCCGAAATAAAGTCCCTGTAGACAGCTTCTGTAAGACGTGCTAGGAGAACATATGGACCTACCAAACAGTCACCTCCAATTCCAGCCCACACATTAATCAGAAACTAATGCTGTTGTCTAACCTGTATTGTACCAGGCAGATTCCGATCCGCCTTCAAATGTTGGTTATATAAATTTGTTGTTCCATCTCTCCGGCCATTGTTAAGCGTAACACGTTTCCGTTAACTCACTGCTACACACGTTAAACGTTGAAGACAGAATATTCACAAATCTACACGAATGACAAATGTAACATAGTCTACATAGCAATAGAGTGCATTATCGTAAACTTGCTTTAAACTTAATAACTAAAAAACGAAGGATTTGTGGATATATGTTTATATATGTTTATGTGGTCTTTTGTCTTTGTTTTTGTGTGAGGAACCGGCCCCAAAGTTTGCAAAAGTATTTTTGATACATCGTGTATGTATGTATATATATATATATATATATATATATATATATAGAGAGAGAGAGAGAGAGAGAAAGAAAATATTCATCCTCCGACAGGAATCAAACCTGTATCCTATACGGAACCGTCATATAGCCTGACGTGCCTTTACCGTTTCGGCCACAGAGAAGCGTTCAGTTAGCAAGGTCTATTTTACTGTCTTTAAACTACAATCTTCCATGATTCTCTCACGTACATTCATGTCTGCTCATGGCGTATCCAAATGTAAACGAATGACGTCACACATTATGAAATGGACAAAGTCCGATAATTACTTTAAGACATTTTTATGTTTATACATTCTTTTTTATAGATACAAATGTCTTAAAATAATAAAATAGATAGATATTATATATTATAATTTTTTTTATGTAGACAAAAACATTTACTCACTACAAAGATGCAACTTCGTTTCGATGCATTTCAATTGTATGAAAAAATTATAATAAATAATTATTGCTCTAATATCGGTATCTTTTGGATTAATACTGTGAACCTTAGAATTTGTATATTACTTTCGTTCTCACTGCATTAGATAGATAGATAGATAGATAGATAGATAGATAGATAGATAGATAGATAGATATGAACAGAATGGGATAGATAGATAGATAGATAGATAGATAGATAGATATGAAAAGACTGAAATATATATATATATATATATATATATATATATATATATATAGAGAGAGAGAGAGAGAGATTGAGACAGAGAGATTGGTAGATATGAAAAGAATGATATAGATAGATAGATAGATAGATAGATAGATGAATAGATATGAAAAGGCTGAAATATATATATATATATATATATATATATATATATAGAGAGAGAGAGAGAGAGAGAGATTGAGAGAGAGATTGGTAGATATAAAAGAATGAAATAGATAGATAGATAGATAGATAGATAGTAATGAAATGTATGAGATAGATAGATAGATAGATAGATAGATAGATAGATAGATAGATAGATAGATAAAATTGCAGAAAGAAAGAAAGAAAGAAAGAAAGAAAGAAAAGAAAGAAATCTGGATGGTCAGGTTATGATCCATAAATTGATTGATTGATTGATAAAAAGGAAACTCTATCAATATAAAGTTTTACTTTCTCTGAATATTATGATGAATTGTTTACAAAGATCGATACATCGATTTCGAAAAGACAACTACATAAAGAAATGGTGTGAAAGTAAAAAAAGAAATGAACAAAAGTATCGACAATATGTAATCGCACGTTGTGGATTATCTAATTTCCCCTGCTATCTGGATAATCCCATTATCTGAGGCACGTATTTCTCATATCCATAAACATCTGCTTCGCTCAAAATCTTTCTTCAATACTAAAAAAATAGTTTCAACCTTTTTCTTCGTATTTATAAAATATGTTTGCAGATTTTAACAAGTTTATTCCCGAAAGTTAATTAAAAAGTTTCCTGTAATTTTAAAATTAAATTTTAAAACATTTTCTATTAGTTATAATTTAATTGAACATTTTCATCTTCATCTTTCATGTTCCTTGTCTCTTCAGACTGTGGACAATCCACAGTTTCCCATCCTTTTTAGTTTTTTGACCCTTTTTCTATCAGCCTTATTTCCTGTTTTGCCTTCTATTTAAATAAACCTACTTGCTAGATTACTCGAGTTTTCCTTCTCACTCTCTTCTGGATGGAACGATCATGACACTCCACAACTTCCTATCTTTTGCAGTTCTAAGCAATATTTATCCACTATTATATCTCCAAACCTCTGGTCTTCCATTCATTTACATAAGCTCTCTAAATTGATTACTCACTGTTTACCTTTGCTCGTCTTATTGCCACTATACTCTATCAGTGTCAGACCGCTTTCCCTTTTATACACGGTGTTCGGGCTAAATTTGACAGAGTTTTTTTTTAAGAAAAAAGAAATTGAATATCTAAGCCAAAAATCAATTTATTGGCAAAATAGAAAAGTTACATACGGGTTATAATAATCTAAGATAAGACAGCCGGTCTTTTGTAAAAGAAGGAAATACTGGATGGGTGCCAAAAACAACACGTAATTTGGCCGAAAAAAAGGTGGCAGTAACAGATGTGAAAACTCTGTCGGTTAGAATTATACACTTTCTACCAAGACAAGACAATTTTAGATATATCGGACACAGACTAGGGACGAATTTAAAGGAATATACTAAAATTTTCTATCTTCCGTTCTATTGTAGGATCAATAATATTGGTTGGATAACCATTATTAATAAGAATAGAACATATTTAAATTTCCTTCTGTCCTATCTTAGTAAGAGTTCACTTATCTGCAAGTTCAAATGTCAGCGTGTTGCAGACAACATAAGACGGACTAATCTTAGATTGGAAACAAGGTTGGACCAACACATTCCTAAATTTATTAGATTACATTCAAATAATCACACTTGTGTATCACAAT